CAATGATGGCAATGTTTTAGGCGATGATTTTGTACCTTCAAACAAACCATTGAACATTAATATTTGGCGTTAAAGGTTTTTTCAAAATTGTAATAGAAATGAATTTTCTTGTTATATTTATAATATATTTTATTAACTGTATGTTTAGATAATCTGTATATGGGAATTATTGTCATGAATATATATTTTAATTGTGTGATGTTTTTGTAAATGATGCAATTATGTTTAGTAAATGTTTTATTTATTTTTAGTTAAAAAAAGTTAAAGTTTAAGTAGCAAATCTAGTTGTGGTACTTAGTTTAAATGTTCTTAATTTACTTAGTTTTTTTTATAATATGTTTACTATTTATTATTGCTATTTCTACAGTAATTTGTTTTTGTATGGTTTGTCAATTAGTTAGATTTGTCAATTAGTTTTCTATTCTCTCAAAAAATTTTATTTGGTATTAGTTATCTACAAAATCTTTTAGAAATTCTCTCTACATTTTTATACTTTTGTATTCTTCTACTATATTCCTTATTTTCATAGTTACTTTTATATTTCTTATTTTCATAGTTACTTTGCAACAGTCTTTGTTGAGAGTGGATAAGTATGTAAAAAAAAAAAACAAAAAAAATTAAAATTTAGGGGATTTTTTTAAACAAGTTAGTCCAAATTCCAGATTGTTCTTTTTTATCAAAATGTTTTCAGTCACAGTTATTAGCTAAAGGTTCTTTACATCCAATACTCTCCCATTCAATAAACAGAAAAATTATGATTCAACAACGTAAATTATCTTCAGACTCTCTTACTGTTTTATTTTTTTAAATCTGGCACTTGTTAAAGTTAAATCCCAGTTAGTCAATAGCTAAATTGCTAATATTTTATTCAACCTTTAAATTTTTTTTATTTATAGTATATACTTGTTACATTTTTTTAATATTTAATTTATATTACATTTAATGTTTATATAAATTCTTTATTGTTTACTTTGTATTGTAAAAAATATATATATATATATTTTTAAGATGAAAATAATAACTGTAGCAAATAAAAAAAAATATAGAGCAAAATAGAACATGAGTTTAAAACCAAATAAAAGAACTTTGATTTGTGGAAATGAAATTCCTATGATTGGATGTAAGATTTAATTTATATTTTTCATTTCTTTATTTTGATCAAAAATATTTTAATATTTGTTGTACTTCATTAAAATACTATAGTACTGTATAATCATATGTTAAATAATCTCTAAATTATTTATTTCTATTATAATTTCTAGCTTTTGTTGAATATAGTATTATGCTCACATTAAAATTTTCATAATTATAAGTATAACTTTATAAAGCAAGCAGTGGAAAACTGCTACTATGGGACTATGGGCGAGGGGGTGAGAACTCTATTTTCTTTTAAACCCTATTTTTTTGTTTCTGTGTCAGAAGGTTATTGAATTTGTTAAAATTGAAATGCTAATTTGTTTGAGTGAATACATTTATTTTACCATGTGATTCATTTTGTTTCTTTATAATTTTGTGAGTAGTAAATCAAAACAACTGCTAATTAATAAAAACTAAAAAGGTGTTTCTTAAACATAATTTGTTCTTTTAGTTTTAAACAAAGTTTTAAAAAAATTTATTTTAAACAAATTTATTTTAAACAATTTTTTTTTAAACAAATTTTTTTTAAACAAATTTATTTTAAACAAATTTATTTTTAACAAATTTATTTTAATTTACTATAACTATACTTGAATTTAAATTTTATTAGAATTTTTTTCACTTTTTTAAATGGTTACAATGTTCTACAATACACATCTTTTAGGATTAACTCTTACTTCCGACCTTTCTTGGAAATCATTTTTTTAAATTTTTTATTTATTTTTAATTCACCTCCCTAAGGCTGAGAAGGCTACCCAGGAAAAAAAGTTCCATAGAATTTTCTATAAACTTTTGAAACATATGGCCTATAGAAACTCTATAAAATTTCTATAGAATTTCTAAAGAATTCTAATGAATATCTATTAATTTCTATAGAAATTGCTATAAAACTTTTTTTTAAAAAAATAAATGTAGAAAAAAAAATTTCCATAGAAATGTTTATAAAAGTTAACAGAAATTCTATAGAAGTTCAATAAAGTTTTACAGAATTTTTATAGGCCATATGTTTCAAAAGTTGATAGAAAATTCTATAGAACTTTTTTTCCTGGGTATAGACGAGGAGGCTACTTAATTGTGGTTTTAACCCTCTCTCAACTCTATAATTCCAAAACACGAACCTTGGTAAACAAGATTGCTGCGCTGAGAAACAAGTTGATATCATTATATCAAATTGATTGCAAAATTAGCCCCTACTAAGGTTGCATCTCTTTATCGTATTCGCCACTTTTTTACTAAGGATTCTATTCTTTATTTTTATAAATTTCAAATCCATTCTTGCATGGAATACTGTCTCTAAATATTATTACATTGTTGTTATGTTGCTTCTCTTTCTCTTTTTTATAAATACTATAATGGGTACTGCTCTAAAGAGCTAGCGTCTTTTGTGCCATCTACTAAAATTCATTCTCATGTTACTTGTTATTCAATTAAGTCTTATCATTTTACTTTGACTGTTCTTAAGTGCTCCAAATTTTTTTATTTTTTCATTTTTTTTCCCTTGAACATCAGTTCTTTGGAAGTAGCTTCCTTTGTCTTGTTTTCCTGATTCATATAATTTGCAATCTTTTAAGTTGTCTGTTAATCTTGCTCTATAAATTTCATCTTTTCTCTTCCAGTAACTTCCGACTCTAATAGTGGATGGTTGCAGCCTTGTTGGAAGTAAAGATGTTGATAAAAAATAAATTTGCACACGTTTAATGTTTCAAACTATTTGTCTTTCTTCATGTAATAGTATAGAGTGTATAAAACTGTTAGTGTTGACTACTTTCTTGATAGTATAGAGTGTATAAATAAGCATAAAAGATTTTATTAAACATCTTGCATTTAGTAATGTAGCTTTCTTATATAACAATCATCTTTATTGTCTTTTTTATATAACTAATGTTCCAATTATCATTTTTATATAAAAAAAAAATCCCTAGTACCTACTGCATTCAACTTGTTTCTCCGTGCAGCGATCTTGTTTGTCGATGCAGTTTGTCAGTAGTTCGTGTTTTAAAGATTAGGAGAAAGGGTTTGTGGGTTAGGAGAAAGATTTAACCTAAAAGTAAGAAAATAATGAGTAGCTTCTTCAACTAGCCCCTTGGTATTTTATTTCCCCCTTGGTATTTTATTTCCGCCTTGGTATTGTATTTCCCCTTTATTATTGAAAAAGTAAAAAAAGAAAAATCATAGCTATTATTTGCTTTGTTTTTTTTGAAATTTAATTATGATTTTTATTCAACTAAAAAATTTCAAATTTAGTTTAGTTAGAAATCTAAATTTGAATTGCATATTTTCTTGAACAGTAGGCACTTTCAAGCTCAAAAACAGTGTTAACTCAGAAGAGGTATACCGTGTGCTTGATGTAGCTATTGAATCTGGTTATAGATTAATTGGTATTTTTTATTTTTTTTTATTTAAAACAATTTATTTTGAATATAAACTAAATTTTTTTAGAAAATCAAAGAACATTATGTTTTAAAAAAAATTGTATCAGAGTTAGAGGAAATTTTATGTATATCATCTTTTGTTCCATCAACCAATACTTTATCTCACATGACATTTCAATCAGCAATATTTGATATAGCAGTTTCTTTGGTAATATCCTTAGAACTCTCTTTTTATGCTTCAAACTTCATCTTTTCTCTTCCAATAACTTTTAACTCTAATAGTGGTTGTTTGAAGCCATGCTGGAAGTGAAGATGTTTTAAATCAATGTGGTTTTATTTGTATTTAATCAAATTTATTTAACCCTAACCCTGCTTGATATTAGTCCCAGTTTTTTGTTCAGTGTTTTTCTGGTTTTTAGTTATTTTGATGGTTTTTAAAACATAAATTCTTACCAATATCATACAAATAATATTTTTTAAGATTTACAAAATATTTATTTATGCTAAGTCTTTCTTGAGTCATCAAAACCTATAACATCTTCAACTTTATCTCTCCATCATAACAAATTGATCTTTGTTTATTTTTATGCTATCATTAATATTTGCTCTTATATTTTCTTAATAGCTAACTATTATTTTCTTTGTTAAACAAAATTTATTAATGAAACAGTTCAGAAATTTTGTTAAAAATAATGTAAAGTTGTATAGCTCAAAAAAACTTTTTTTGACAGGTTTTATGGTTGTTATAAGTTTTCAAATTATTACATCTGCATTATTATTTATACAAAATAGAAGCTTTTATAATTGAATTACTATTTTAAAAATAACTGTAAGTTTATTTTTATTTCAAACTAAATTTGATTTCTGCACAAATTTTATGATTGATCTTATGTTTGTTTTTGTTGATCCAGGTTACCTTTTTCTAATTTTTTTTTAATATTTTTGTTTTACTTTTATTTGTATAAGTTTTATTAATAAAACTATTACTTTAAAAACAAGCGTTAATGTAAAATTGACTAATGTTTTACAAAATACTTTTTATTAAAAGTGTTAATAAAAAGTATTTTGTAAAATAGCTTGTAATTAAGTGCCATAAATATAGTTATGAACTTGAGTTATGAAATTTTGAAACACTGTTATTTGTTTAGATTTAATTGCACAAAAGTTTTATATAACATATTGAAATACATTTTTTAATAGCTTTTAGTTGATACATTTTATTTTAGACACTGCATCATGTTATAGAAATGAAGAAGATATTGGATTTGCACTGGAAAAACTCTATGTTAAACATAACATTAAAAGACAAGACTTATTTATTACAAGCAAATTAGGTAAACTTAATACACTATGTTAAATTAACTTAGGTAAATTTAATACACAATATATATATATATATATATATATATATATATATATATATATATATATATATATATATATATATATATGTTTATAATAAATTATATATATACATATATATATATATATATATATATATATATATATATATATATATATATATATGTTTATAATAAATTATATATATACATATATATATATATATATATATATATATATATATATATATATATATATATATATATATATATATATATATATATATATATATATATATATATATATATATATATATATATATATATATATATACACACAATGTAACAAAAAAAAAAAAATTTTCTGTTTATCAAAATTTTTTGATGTTTCTTAATTAATTTGAGTATGCTGAGTCTGAATATGACATTGGATTTTTTATTGCATCAATCGTTTGGTCGTAAAACCAAAAAATCAATTAAACATATAATTAATATAAATCGTTTTGCATTAGATTCTACTTTAGTCAATATAAAACATTTACTAATTCAAAAGTGTTATGTTATGTTACAAAACTTCATGTTACATCATGTTTCTTACATATATTACATAATGTTACATTATATTGTATTGTAACAGTCTCTCACAATCTCAAAAAACACTAAAAGTGAACAGTAGAACGAGGTTTTCTTTTATGAAGTTTCTCGTCATCGCGTATCAAACACCAGATGTAGTCACCCATCATAGCTGCATCCCATCTGCCCTGGTATCTTTTCTCCATTGCAAGAATATCCTGATGGAAACGTTCCCCGTGCTCTTCACTCACATCACCCAAATTTGGTCTGAAAAATTCCAAGTGTGAATGCAGGTAATGCAGCTTTATTGACATTCTGCATTTCATATCTGCGTACCGTACAATTAAGTTTTCCACTATCTCTTTGTAGTTATCACTCTTATTGTTGCCTAAAAAGCTATGAACAACATGTCTAAATGCAGTCCATGCTTCTTTTTCAACAGCAGACATTTTGTCCTCAAGCTCCTTACATGCCAACATAACTTTAATCTGTGGACCAACGAATATACCTGCTGAAATTTTTGCATCTGACACCTTTGGAAACATCTGCCGAATATGCTGGAATGCTGCACTATCTGGGTTTAATGCTTTGACAAATTGTTTGATAAGACCAAGTTTAATGTGAAGGGGTGGTAGTAAGATCTTTTCAACAGGTATCAGAGATTGATTAATAACATTGTGCGAACCAGGCTGTAAATGTTCTCTCACTGGCCACTCACGTCTTGTGAAGTGCTGGTTTGCAGCCCTGCTATCCCATAAACAAAGAAAACACGAGTACTTTGTGTATCCTCCTTGCAGACCGAGAAGAAATGCTAGCATCTTAAAGTCTCCACATACATCCCACTTGCAACTGTCGTAGTTGATTTTCTCAAGCAACAACTTCACGTTCTTATAGTCTTCCTTTAGATGAACGGAATGAGCTACTGGAATCGAAGGAAATCGGTTTCCGTTATGGAGCAAAACTGCCTTTAGACTTCTTGTTGAGCTGTCAATGAATAATCTCCACTCTTCAGGATTGTGAACAATGCCAATGTCATTGAAAAGACCACGAACGTCATGACAATAGCACAGTGATTCTGATACTACATAAAAGTATGCGAATGTTTCATGTCTTTTTCGGTATTTCGAGGTTCTGCAGCTTGGATCTAATAAATTCCATTCTTTCAAACGTGATGTCAGAAGTTCTGCATTTGATTTAGTGAGACCTAAATCTCGTACTAAGTCATCAAGTTCTTGTTGGTTAGGGAAATGAGGTGAATCATTCGGTTCCCTGAAATCACAGTCATCATTGAGTTCATCCGGTGAGTCTACTTCAGAATGATATGCAGCTGCTTCTTCGGATTGAGGTGGAGTAGGAACAGGCAATTCATCACTGTGTGGAACTGGTCCAATAGAAGATGGTATACTTGGATAAACTAGAGGCAGCCTATCTTTCGGTTTTTTATACTTTGAAATGTCAACAATGCAGAAAAAGCAGTCATCATGATGGTTCGTCGGTTCTCTCCATATTCTCGGAATCGCAAAGGGCATTGACTTTCGGATTCCACGCAGCCATCCTTCCAGAGTTGATCTGCAGCTACCACAACTGTAGTGTGGTGCCCACGATTTGTCCTGATCTCCCATAGCCATGCCAAAATAAGCATGATATGCAGTAAAGAATTTTGTACCACTGACAATATAGTAATCACAAACATAACAGAATGAGTCAGGACAAAGCTTGCAGGATCTACTAGACATATTCACTACTTCATGTAACAGTTGTAATTAGTTAAACTGAAAATAAACACACAAATATAGTTAAAATCAGCATATATATATATTGTTTTAATTGCATTACACATATACGAAAACTCCGAAATATACTTTATGCTTTTTCTCAGGAAATCTTGATGATAGAGAAAAACCAATGGTACCACTGAAATCAGCATACAAAAATTATGTAAGAAACATTAAAAAATTAACATAAACAAAAATGTTGTTACATGGTGTATATATATATATATATATATATATATATATATATATATATATATATATATATATATGTTTATAATAAATTATATATATATATACATATATATATATATATATATATATATATATATATATATATATATATATATATATATATATATATATGTATATATATATACGTATATTAAATACATATATATATATACATATATATATATACATATTTATATACACACATATATATATATATATATATATATATATTTATATATATACATGTTTGTATATATATATGTATATATATATTTATATATATGTATATATATGTGTGTTTATTTGTATATATGTGTGTGTGTATATATATATATATATATATATATATATATATATATATATATATATATATATATATATATATATATATATATATATGCTAGGGTGCATCAAATGCTCCATACTTTCAAAATTTGATCTGTCCCTATTCTTATTACCATCTGTTGGTTCTTACAAGACACTGTTAAATTTTTTCAAAATTGAATGAGATTTAGGCAGGCCACATTAAGTCTGAAACTTGCAACGAGACCCTAAACAGAAGAAAAAAATGTTTTTCAAATGTATGTCATGTTGGGTCTCATAAGAATCGATACTTTATAAACTTTTTTAATTTTTTGCTAAAAAAATAATTTTTATGCCATAAAACTTATAATAATAAATATTATGTAAAATTTTTATTGTTTTTGAAGACCCAACATGACATACATTTGAAAAACTTTTTTTTTTTCTGTTGAGGATCTCATCGCAAGTTTCAGATTTGAAGTGGCCCCCCTAAATCTCATTCAGTTTTGAAAAAATTTAACAGAGTGTCTTGTGAGTACCAATTAAAAGTTTTAAGAATAGGGACAGATCAATTTTTGAAAGTATGGGGCATTTGATGCACCCTAATATATATATATATATATATATATATATATATATATATATATATATATATATATATATATATATATATATATATATATATATATATATATATATATGTATATATAAATATATATATATATATATATAAATATATATATATATATATATATACATATATATATATATATATATATATATATATATATATATATATATATATATATATATATATATATATATACATATATATATATATATATATATGTAAATTTAGTATATGGGTCAAATCATTATATTTCAACCAATTTTGAGAAAACTTTGTGGGGCACTATCTTTGATTTTCCTGATTTTAACATATCAGCCTCATAATATTACATAAAGCCTTATAACTTTTTTCTAACTTTCAACAAGTGTCTCATTTTTTCTAGAAGTGTTTTCTGGGTATTTCTGTATTAAAAATACTGGTTTTTGTTGACTGGTATCATATTAGAAAAAAATTATAGCCTTCTTAACTTCCAAAAAAATTTGAAAAAAATGCTAAAAAAAAGCCAAAATGAAGTTAACTGTAGTACTTTTCTATTCTGCAACAAGTCCCTACAGTTTTGTTTTCTGATTAGCTACTCTTATCTGCAACAAACAGGCAAAAAATAAGCTGCTTGTTGCATTTTAGAACTGAAATATATCTAAAAATGTATTGTCCATTTGCCAAAAAAATCCCATTTTCAGCCATTTTGAAATGCTGGTAATTTTTTCTAACACTTTGTATTGATCTAAGCTTAACAGCAATTAAGACCATAAGATCCAACTATCTGGAAATGCAAACATTTTTTATTAGTTGCATATACAACAAAAATGGCAGCATTTTAAAATAGTCCGACTTTTTAATTATCAAGGGTCGGACGCATTATTGGAAACCAGTGCTCCCCCCCCCCCCCAACCTGCCTAATAGCATATTCAATAGGTGCAACTGATTATAAATTGTTTCTTAAAAAATAAAAGAAATGGTTGATTGCCCCTATGCTGATATATTTTTTAACCTGGGTAGGAGCACAAATATAGGGGCAATAACTAGTTAAAACCCAGTATTATTGTTAAATAGTGATACTTTAAACATTTTAGTTAATCTTATAATTCAATTTACATTTTGTTTCTGTTATTTAAAATGCTAAAATTCAAATACTGAATAAGTGCAATCAGTGACGGCGGAAATGAATGAATGAATGCATGAATGGCTATGTGTATTAGAACAATACAAATGAAACTATTATGATAACGATTGCATAATTTGAATTATTATTTTTTAGAAAATGTGAATGAGCTATAAATTAGAAATATAGATCAGTAGTCAGGTTATTAATTAAAAAATATAATGATTTTGAATAATGTACCATTGTGTATATATATATATATATATATATATATATATATATATATATATATATATATATATATATATATACATATATAAGTTAAAAATGAAATGTAATATAAAATAAATAAATAAAAATTACAAAAATTAATATAAAG